TTTTTATAATTAAATTCTACTAGAATTTAATGATTTAAATACAAATGAAATACAAACAAATAATTTATTGAATAATTGAATGTTTCTTAAAATTGAATTCTTATACATAATTTTATCAAAAATTTTCAAATAATTGAATTCTATCAACGAATTTTAATAAAATTTTTAAGAATAGAGTAGAGGGGGGTAATGTAGTGCAGGGGGTAATGTAGTGCACTGGCTTTACTGACTAAACGAATGAATTGAATTACTTGCCGTTAATATGGTAGGGTTAAGGTATCAAATTATAGTAATGTATATCATTTTGGCTTTATTGTGCTTCTTCTAAAAGAAGTTGTGGCGTCACTTCAAAAACACTAGATTTCGAAACCATATTTCCGTTTTTTTAGTGACTTGAAGAAAATGTAAGGCTCGTTAAAAAAGTATCGGGTAAGTGCTTTTTCCATGTAAAATTTACTTCTGAACACAAATTTAGTATTGTTTTGATGTTTAATTTTGTTTTTATTGAGATATTGAAGTCAACGTGAAAAAAGTGCTTGGGGGCATTGTAGTGCACTGGGTTGGGGACAATGTAGTGTAATTATACAGAGTACCGTAAATATGTATTATTTAACCATGTTTGCTTTTTGCAAATTTTTGCAGTTTTCTTTCAGTTTTATCTAACACAGGACCAAAGAAATCTCTAGTTTATAGTGCTATCCACGAGATGAGATGATACCATGCAAAGTCTCGATCTCGTCTCGGTTTTTACATGCAAAGTCTCGTCTTGTGGGCATCACTACTAGTTTATAGTTTTTTAAGTTTCTTATGTTCCTAATGTTATATCTAATAAAATAAAATCGTTTATGATATATTCTCTGCTTTTTATTCCACTAAGAAAGTGGTGCACTACATTGCCCCACAAATTTTAGAATGTCGAAAAAAAGTGCTTTCAGTTTTTTGGATATAGAAAAGCTCCATCTACATCTACAAAAAAATAATGTACACCATAAATGTAGCTAGAAGCATTGTCTTTCCAACGAGTTCTTAATGATCAAAATTGGTTGAAAATTGCGACCACAGGAGTCTCCGAAAGAAAAGTGCACTACATTACCCCCTTCTACTCTAAGTACATTTTTCGAGAAATTTGATTAAAATTGTATTAAAAATAATTGATATTCTGCAATGAGTTTTATTATTTGTGAAAATAATTGAATCCCTAAAAAGAATTTTATTACTTTTGAACAAATATTTAATTTTTGCGAAGAATATTATTACTCTTGAAAATAATTGAATTTTTGCAAAAATTTGTAACTTTTACAAAATTGAATTTTTTTCGTGTTTTTAACTAAACATCTTCTATAAATCCATTATTTTTAATAATTTTTGAAAAAATTCATTGAGAATTTTCAAATTCATTTCTTTACAATTCAATTTTACAAAATTTCAATTATTCGTATACTTTTTAATTAAATATATATTAGAAAATAAAAACTTAAAATAATACTTAAAAAACTTGCAATTAAAGTTTCTAAAAAAATTAATTCTACAGAATTGTTAGTTAAAAATATGAAAAATTCAAATTTTCAAAGATTTTAATCTGAAACCTTTTTAAAATTCAATTATTTCTAAAAATTTACGCTCTAATGCTTTTAATATTTTTTTAATAATCTTAAAACTAAATTCTCTCAAAAAATTGTATTTATAAATTTTTAAATAACTGAATTCTTTTGAGAAATTTCATTATAATAGTAAATACTAGAGGTTTGCAAAAAGCTCGAAGCTCGAGGCTCGATCGAGTATTTTCGAGCTTTTCATTTTTAGAGCCGAGTCGAGCCGAGCCGAGCCTATTCAGTTCGAGCTCTAGCCGAATAATTTCGAGTACTCGAATTTTTTGGGTACTCGAAACTTTTGAGTACTCAATTTGATTCGAGCCCTTGAGAAAATCCAAAATTTTCTACTTTAATTTCTAATTAAATTTTTTTTTTTGTATAAAAAAAATTTTTTTTTAATTTAAAAGCTGGAGTTATTGGGAAAATCCAAAATTTTCCACTTTAATTTTTAATTAAATTTTGTTTGTATAACAAATTTTTTTTTTTAATTTAAAAGCTCGAATCAAATTGAGTACTCGATACATCGAGCCCGGCTCGGGCTCGGCTATTCGAGCTTTTTTCACACCTCTAGTAAATACAGCTATTAAAAATCATTGAACTGAGGAAAATTTTTGAAAATAATTGAAATTTTTGAAAATAATTGAATTTTGGAGAAGAATATTTAATTATTTTTAAAGATAATTGAAATTTTGAGGAGAATTTTAGAAAAATTTTAACATAATTGAATTTCTGCGAAGAATTTTATTACTTTTGAAAATGAATGAATTTTTTGCTGATCGAGGAATTTTGCTAAGAGGAAGCAAAATGTTCATAATTATAATTAATTTTAATAAATCATTGCACATAAATTATTCGAAATTAATTTCTTCATTCCAATTAATTTCCGTAAACATATAGCGAATATTATAACGTACACGATTAAAGCTCGTTTGCGATAAAGTAATTGACTCTTTTGAAATAAGAGAAGATAAAAGAGAGTATATTGTGAAAACAAAAATCAACTTTACATTTTAAAAACATGAAATTATTTAAATATGCGTGCGTGAGAAGTCAAAAACTTTTAAAACGCAACAACCTAATAAAGGACCAATTAGAATTTTAATCAAAATTTAAATTGTTAATTTTCATATTTTTCGATATCAGTAACTGAACACTCATTTGAACAATAATTTAATCGATTGGAATTAAGTCTCGCGGTTTATATCAACAGAAATTTCTCATGCTCACATTCGTGTGTAATTTAAATCTCTTACAATTAAACGAATAGATAAAAAATTTTAAACAATTTTTATCAAGTTACTATCATTTAAACAATTAGTATCTTGACTAATTTTTATTTTTATTATTTATATAGGTACTATTTATATAGTGCTATCTTTTATTTTTAGAAAGTTTGAATCTTTTTCTTTTTTTAATTAGAAAATTAACTTTCTTTCTAAAACATAATTAAAACGAAGAACATTGTGCTTTTTTCTCTGAAATTATTATTTATATTATTATTTATATTTTGTTGTTGTCGAGAATTTGCAAAATTACCTGTGGCTTAATTCACGTTTGTCAGTTAGTGAGACTTGAGTGCTTTCATTAAAGCTGTCCGAGACGCGTCGAGGTTTCCTAATACTATCATTTCTTGCTAAATTTTCTGATGTTGGCAGACATAAATTCGAAATGGTAATTTCAACATTTTCTTCAGGCAAATGACATTTATCCGTTTGGTAACGTAATTTGCATCCTGTCCAAATAAAAAAATACTTTTAATTTAAACAAACTTTTTAATAGAAAATAAAGAATCCCATCATTTCTGAAATTGCTCGATAACAATAAATAAATTCTAAAATTTATCTAAAAAATTGACAATTTATACTTTAGGATTTTAAACAACATCCCACAGAAACCTTGAATAAAAAATTTATCGTAAACAAAATAATATTTTTCTAAAGAATTTTTATCTTTAACCTTCCAGAGAATTGCATTATGTATATTATTTTTATTTTTAAAAAAAGAGGTCACCATCTTTATTTGAAATTGTTAACCAACTTGAAAAAATTTTCCTGTAAATATTGATCCCATCTAAAGTAAATATTACAATAACTGGGGCTCACCATTTTTTACAAAAGTTGAATTTATCATATCATAATTCATCGTTTAGAAGAAAATAAGAAAAATAAAAAAAGAAATGTTTGTATCACTCAAGAAAATTGGCAACTGAACAAATCCAATAAAACAATTTCAAATGTGAATAATGATCGTTCTTCGAATCTATCACAACACTGAATGACGCCGTTTAAGTGGTGAGATTTCAATACCAGGGAATAATGAGTAATTAGATAAGACCTAAGGTTACGATAAATAAAATTTTTTTAAAACAGAGGTCATTTACTATAACGATGAAAGTAGGGATGGGAAAATTTTCTGACTGACTGAAATTATTCAATATATTAAATTTGCAACAAAATGATACTGTCATTTTTAATAAATTAATTGACAATTCTTAAATGTAGATCATATATATATAAATAAATAATTCAATAAGTGATAACAGTCAAGTGGACAAAATCTTGTGAAATATCTCAAGATTCTTCAAAAGTGTAAACGATAAATAAGATTACAATTTGAAATATCATTTGCAAGAGCGACAATAATTTCATCTGTCAAGTGTGTGCAAAAATGTAAATTAACTTACGTTAATGCTAAAAATTAAAATTCAATTTATCTTGTATTGAGAAAAATTAAATTCTCTCCAATATGAAAGATTAATAATTTTCACGCGTTCATCTCTCTCCCCCTTCCCCCCCCCCCTCTCTCTCTCTCTCTCTCTATCTCTCTCTCTCTCTCAGTTTAAATTTAGATCGGATTTTATTCTTGAACATAAAGATATTTCCGAATGTTTTCAACAGTAGGTAGAAATTTGTTATTACTATACTCATGATAGTTTTGAAATCCCCCCTCCCCAAAAAAGTAATTTTCAAAATTTGATATTAAAAAAGAAAGAAATTAATTTTAAATAATTATAATTGAAAACGTTTATCCTTGAATTCGTCGGCGAAATATAGATGCAAATTTACTTTTATATGCAATAAGAGAGCTGAGTAATTTTTATACATTAATAATATCAAATTGAATTTATAAATATTTTTCTTCACATGCTCAAGAAGTCTAAGTTTATTATCCATTATGCCGAGACGATAAAGCGATAAACATTCTTCGATTACACAATGTTCTAGAGACATAAAAAATTGCACGATGTGATTAATGAACAAAAAATTTAGCTGAAAATTCACGTTTTGCATTATCAACATGTTATTAATTAATCAATTAACAAAATAGAATAAAGACGTTGTCTTTACGAGTGAATTATTGCCACAGGTAAGTAATAATGTAATACGAATTTTAAAAAACTCAACGAACCTTTGACCAACTTGTCGATACCATTTTTTGTGACCACTTCCATCTCCATCGAGAGGTGTCGTCGGAATAGAACCCTGATGATTCATTTGGGGGTTACAATTATCCATATCCATGATTAACTGCGAAAAAAATTAATTCTTAATTGATTGCTTCTTCTCTATTGTCATAAGAATTTTTCAAGAAATTGAAATAAAAGTTTTATTTATTTATTCTATAACTGTAAGAAGAATATTTTTTAACAAGTATATAAGATCAATTTAAATAGAAAATTTACATTTTCGAATTGAAACTCCTTTAAGAATTTAATATAGATTTTTGAAAATTGAATTTCCGATTATAAGAAAACAGAAAACGAGAAATTTTATTTTAAAGTGAGCTTTGGGGTTTTTTTTAACAATAATAGAAAAAGCACGTGAAATTTATACCAATACCGGCAAGACAAGATTATTATGAAAAAATATTTCTCTGTAGTGGAAAAATACTTGGAAAATAATAAGATAAAAGAGTTTACTAAAACTTGAAAATAGAAAACATTATAATACTAACTTCTATCAATAAAATCGTGAAATAATTGAAAATAATGCGAAAATTCTTACAAGTTTCGTTGAACGTTTATGAGAGAATGTAGCTTTTTCTCATCCAACTTAATACTGAATTACTGATAACTGATATTAAAAAAAAAGTTAAAAGACAGGAATTCACGAAAAATAAGTAAAAAATATGTCACATCTACTTTGCAAGCAGCGCACACTGAGGAGAATTCATTCAACTACCAGAGTTTATTCAATATCGATCAGACCGTAAAAGAAAAGGCGCCGGTTATAAATTTTTACCAAATTCTATTCTACATTTTCGAAATATAATGATTCTCATTTTCAGTTTTATTCAATTTTTTAATATTAAAAAAGCTTAGATTACTTTTCAACAAAAACAATTTCAATAATTCTAATAGATTCAAAATGAAAAATGCGCGCACAAATTTTCCATTTTCAAAATTAACATGGAATTCATAAGTTTTATTTTTTTGTTTATAAAAACGAAGAGTGATCGAGCTCAAATGAATAAACCGATTTTTGCTGAAAACATAACATATCGATGTAATAATTGCTCTGAAAAGTGAAAAATCGAAGGCGCAGTGGGCATGCGAGTTTCATCGTTCACGAGTGCGACGAGTGCACACGAGTGCGTCCGCCTCTATATGTGTGCAGTTACCCACAATTTTAAATTCCCTCTCTTTCTTTCTTTCCTAAAATTGCCTAAAAGCCTAAAATATATTACGTCACTTGACAACTGAAATAAAAATCCTCCTTTCGCGAACAAAAATAAAATGATGAAACAAATGAAGGAGATAGAGAAATTTGAAAAGAAACAAGATAATGCACCTGTCGAATTGTGGGAGACTTTATAAGGTCCGAAGCTGTCAAAGTTGGAAAAGGAGAGGTCGTACGTAGCGCTCTGCGATGGTACACGTATGTCTCCTGCTCAAACGTCGTCAAAATTCGAGGTAACATTTTAAAACTGGCCAATTTTGCGATCCTCCATGCGTCCGTCGATATCATCATGTTCCCGTGAATAATCGTGACACTGTTTCGTCAAGTTTAGTGCTTGAACAATTGTGTTGCATTGTCCCTATTGCGTAAAAATTAATCCAATTTAGTTGACCTCGACATAACATAACCTTCAAAATTGACAGCCGACAAAATTTTATTCATTTTATTGCATCGTCCTTCAAATTCATTTGGAAAATATAGAATTTATTTTTTTCTTTACCTTTCTTTGTCATCAATTTCTGGCAAAATTTTTCCATCTACTTTCACATTGCTCATCTTCTTTAATATTTGTTTGTAAATACCTAAAAATAATTTCAACAATCAGTGCGATGATCAAATCATTTTTAAAGTCTATATATCAACTTTCACAGCTTTTTAAAATTTTTCTTCTTTCACTTGTCACAATATGAAAATAGAAAAAAAATACGGTAACTTATATAAATCACAAGGAACTCGGAAAATATTCACGAAAAGTCTTTTCATACATCTACGTACTTACTTTCAGATTGTTTATACCAAATGTTTTTAGCTGTTTGACGCATGAATAGTTATCAATTTTCAATCTTACTCCTTTCAGACTTACTGTCGTCCTCAAAACTTTTTCGACAGATGACAGTCTAATTGTTAATTTTAATGAAATTTAAAAGTTTAAATGATTGTTTAAAATTTAATACAGAAAATGTTAATAGATTTTGTGAATTGACAAACAGAAAATTGTTTTTAACTTGAAAAAAATTGTATATAATTTACTAACGTGACAAATGTTTTATTACGTAATTATAAATGCTGGAAAAAACACGAGATTTATAATTAAATCAGGATTTTCGAGAACGACAGTAACAACACTTTTGTTATATCATATTTTTCAATTTAGTCGATTTAGACTGATGCGCCTTGGAAAATATTGTCTCAATATAGTCTAATAGATTTTCTGTTTTTACATTGTCTTTTTCGATTATTTCTTTCTACACACGTTGCGAATGTAAAACATTTTCTCTACTAGAATAGTAATTAGTTATTGGATATATGCTTCATTATGTCAAATTTATTTTAAAGACTTTTTTCATCCATTTATTTATACACGCCAGTGTTTTCTTTTGTCTTACAATCCACTGTTAACAAATTAGAATTTAGAAATAAAAAAAACGTTTATAAACATGAAGAAATTTGTTTTATTTTGCTTCATCCACTCTTCAAAATTGTCACATAAATCACTATCACATAAAAATGTTCTCTGCATGTTTTATGTTTTTAGAAAACAAGGTCTTTTATTGAATTCAATTTTTAATGAATGTTTGTAGAATTAAAACTATTGAAATAAAATTAATCAACTGAAATTTACCATTTTCAAATTAGAAGAATTGGTTTTTAATTTATTGGCTGAATATTTATTGGCTTTAGAATATGAAATTATTAATTAAAAAAAAGATAATTGGTAACTTTCATTTTCATTGCATTTTTTTGATCATGAAATGGTGTTCCTGTGAATAAATTAATCAGCAATGATGTACTAAAGGCAATTATCTTCTAAAAGACATTGAGAAATAAAAAAGTTAAGTAACTCAGCCATCAAGCAAAATGAACAATCAAGCATTCAGTTTGGCTGAGAGACTCATTCCATCAACTTACGTGCAACAAGGACTAAATGCGAAGAAAACGCGTGAAAATCAAATAAGACATTTTATCGAACACGTGAGTATTTGAAAATGATGAGCTGCTCAATTAAAAAGCAATGAATTAAATTATGAAATACTTACATAGCGAAAATGGCCAGAGGATGGATGGGACGATGCTACAATAGAAGCATTTCTAGCCGACCTCGCACAAATGGACAGCAACAACTTCCCCTCGAATTGCAGTGTGGGCGAACGGGAGGCAAGAATCATTTCGAACATTGTTGCCAGACGCCACTTTCGTATGGGCCATGGAATCGGAAGATCCGGTGACTTGGAGGAAGTGCAGCCAAAAGCGGCTGGCAGCAGTCTCATGTACAAGTTGACAAATGCTTTGGTCCTGGAAGTAATTCGATACATGGGTAAGAGTTGCTTTTTAAAGCTTTTCAAAGAGTTTCAAAAAGGAACAAGATAATAATAATTTTGTCCCATTCTGTAGGGGTGAAAACCATAGCAGGTTGTTTTTTATCGCCAATGGCTACGGGCATGAGTTTGGTTCTTTGTATGCTGACGTTCAAACAAGACAGACCTCGAGCCAAATACGTCCTGTGGTCGAGGATCGACCAAAAGTCAAGTTTCAAGTCCATAATCACAGCGGGACTTGAACCAGTGGTTCTAGAAATGCAAATAGTAGGCGACGAATTAAAAACCGACATGCAAAGGCTCGAGGCTCAAATGTCAGCTTTAGGTGAAAGTGTTGCATGTGTACTCACAACAACGAGTTGTTTTGCTCCCCGAGCTTGTGATTCCATTGACGCAATTGCCGCGCTTTGTACTCAATACAACATTCCACATCTAGTCAACAATGCTTACGGGTGAGAATGACTAATTTCATTTTTCGTACTACAATACTTTTCGTATTGAAAAATGTTTTTCGTTTTTTGAAAATAGTTTACAGAGTACGAGATGCATGCACCTGATACAGGAGGCGTCGAGGAAGGGAAGAGTGGATGCGTTTGTTCAAAGTACGGATAAGAATTTTTTAGTTCCAGTCGGTGGTGCAATAATTGGCTCATTCGACAAAAATATTTTGGATCGAATTTCAAAAATTTACCCTGGCCGTGCGAATGCAAGTTCTGTGATGGATGTTATGATAACGCTTCTGAGTCTTGGTATGGCTGGTTACAAGCAACTTATTGCTCAACGAAAGGAAATGTATTCATATTTGAAAGATGAACTTGGCAAAATTGCCAATCGTCATGGCGAGAGACTTCTCGATACGAAAGGGAACCCCATTTCCATGGGCATGACACTGCAATGTCTTAGTCATCAGCACGATAATAAACAGGTGACAATGTTGGGTTCCATGCTATTTCTCAGGAATGTCAGCGGAACAAGAGTTATTACAACAACAGACTCGAAACTTATCGCTTCCCACAAATTTGAAGGTAATTACAAATTTCACTTCTATGATCCTCTCTGGAAGGAAAAATAATGGAGATATTAATTGGCAGGTTGGGGAGCTCATAATAGTAATTATCCGGTGCCGTATCTAACAGCGGCTGCCGCGCTCGGAATGAGGCGATCGGATGTCGATATGTTTATTCAGAGACTGGATAAAGCGTTGACGAAAGTAAGACGACGATCGGCACCAGTGACACCTACAGCGTCATTGGCAGGTTCCAGCATCAATGGCGATGCCAGTGGTGCTGGTGGTCCAGGTGAATCAAGCACAGCATCCACTAGCCGAGCAAGTAGTAAAGATAGCCTGCGGAAATGAACCGTAATCAACGCAACTGGCCAGTCGAATCAGCACATTAATCTCAATTTATAAGCGTTTGCTTGTAAAAATTCTCTTCTTCTCAAAAATATCTTCGTTATAGTCCTCTCTTAAAAGTCAATTGATAAACTGAATTGAATAAATCAACTATTCAAATTTCTTATTGACCCAAAAAAAGAAAAAATAATTATTTATTGACTTCATTTCTTCGACAATCAGCATTATGATCTTTGTTTATAAAAATTAATAACAAAGAGATGTAAATTGAAGAAATTTTAGAGAAGAAGTAATTTAATGAGCTGATCGGTCTGTCCTTTTGCGTTGAGAAATCGACGATTTAGAAAATATTTAAAAATAAGGGTACTAAATTCGTACACTTTCTTTTTATTTTTTCGCAAGAAAAGACAAAATCACGTATCGGAAATTCGTGAAATATTTGTTACTCAAGAACTTGGTACATTGTTTTTTGTAACAATTACCATTTGTATTTGAGTCCTTTCTTAAAAAAGACATGGAGTGGAAAGGTCGAATGTATCGAAAAGTATCGAAGTAAAGAATGGGCAATGAGAATGTAAAATCTTAATAGAAGGGTGTTTTCAAAATTGTTTGGACATTAGATATGTGAGGTGGCGCTGCAGTCGTATGTTATTTAAAAAGAGCGCGAATATATAAATTTTATTTTTGTTAAGAGAAAGTACTCATCATAAATCTTATTTTGCATTGTCAGAAAAAACGTCAACATTTCAAATATAGATAAGCAAATTATTAACTGAAAAAATTTGAATATTATTATTAATGAAATAATGGACTTGGACAATGGACATAGAAAAACTAGCACCGTAGACGGCCGCTTGCGGCCGTCGGAGGAGCTAGTAAATGTAAAAGAAATTAAGCTTTTACTAAATAGAAATAATAAAAAAATTTCCTGATATGAACAATAGTAATCAAATTAAAGAAACTTAAATGAATATTAAAAGAAAACGCTTTCTTTCATAATAAAATCAAAGTTTATTGTTCTCAAAATGATATTATTTTACTTTTTATTCAGTGTTAGTATTTTGTACTACGTATTTATTTTTTCACACTATTTATTTGTAAAATTTTAATATTTGTCAACTTTTCTACATGCAATTATATATATATTTACTTATTTTCGCTTCATATAATTATCTCAAGAATTTTAAATATCAGAAAGAAACATAAAATTGTTTATCTTCTATTTGAAAATGAGCGTAACTAAAAATAATAATAATAATAATAATAATAATAATAATAATCCTATTTAAAAAGGAGTGAAAACGATGAGAAATTAAATCATAAGGATTTAATTCACTAATTAGTGAAAGTAAAAATTGATAAAATTTAATAATAAATAGTTTTCCTACTTTTTTCGTGACAAATTTCAAATACATAACTTGATACAGTAGAATTTTTTTTCTGTGCAGAAAAATCACTGCCGATAATGAAACTAATATTTGCAATGTTCCAAAGAACTAAAAAATGATTGCGGAAAACTTTGTATAATTAACAGAAGAAGAAAAATACCCAAATAGATAAAAAAAAATTCATTAGAACATTGGAAACTTTAGTTTCATTCCGCCATTCGTAGAAAACTATAGGAGATTCAAAAATAAATGGCAATAAAAAAAGCTTAAAAATCTGTATGGATTTATGCTACATATGTCACAACGTACTCTCATTCAGAGCTGGGTAAAATGGTTCTTTATTTCTATTTAAAATACAAAATGCCAAATAGATTCATAAAACCTATTTAAAATGTAAAATGGAAAATAGTTGTCTGTTTCTTATTTAAAATGCAAAATGCAAAATATGTATTTGAAATAGGTTAATATAAAATGCAAAATGGTTTTTAAAAAATTTTTATTATAAGATCTAGAGTATCCTGACAGTTCGAAAATTTTTTAATTTTAATATGCTTGTTTGCTTTTAAAAGCAATTCTCACATAGCACAACATTTTTCAGTAAGTTTGCAGCAAGTTCGCGGTGCAAAGTTCGGAGGTTTGCATGGAAAGTTTGCAGCAAAGTTTATGGACGTATAAAAATGTCTGCCCGATTTAAAGTTTGCAATGCAAACTTGCTACAAGTTTTCACGAAAAAATTAAAAATAATTTTATAGCAAACTTGAGAATAATTTGCCGCAAACTTTCTAAAAAATCTCAACGTTAACGTCTCTCAACTGTCATAGAAAACTAATGCGCAGACATTTAAGTTTAACTTTGCCATGCAAATTTTCAGCAAGTTTGCATTGCAAACTTTAAATCGGGCAGACATTTTTATACATCCATAAACTTTGCTGCAAACTTGACATGCAAACTTCCGAACTTTGCACCGCAAACTTGCTGCAAACTTTCTGAAAAATGTTGTGCTATATGGGTTGCTTTTCAAAAATGTCGTCTCCCATGGACCTTTTTTTGAACGTAAAATCATTCCAGCGTGGCTGAAAAGTCGTTTGACAGGAGCCGATGATGGAAGGATTGTATTGTACTTACAAAAAAGATCTTTGATTTTTGATAACGCATTAAGGGTCTGTCCAGTCCCACGGCGGCGTGAAAAAGGAAAATGAAAAGCGTTTAGCCAATAAAAACATTCGATTCAAAGGAAATAAGAAGATTTCCATTGTAGCATAAGTTCCTATTATCTAACGCTTTCCGCTTTCACGCTGCCATGGGGGTGGACCTTTAATTGAAAGGTTTTAATTCAGCAGTGAAAATTTGCATTACTATTGAATAGTACTGAAAATGGAAATGGAATTTTAAATGGAAAATAGGTTGTAAATCTATTTAAAATAGAAAATGCAAATTGGTTGTTTCATTTCTATTTGAAATATAAAATAGAAAATGCCATTTTTCATTTCAAATAGGTATTTCAAATAGATTCATTTCAAATATTTACCCAGCTCTGCTCTCATTGAATACTATACTTGGCTTCATCATTATCTAGAAATGAAAAATTTATTAGAAAATTGAATCGAAGCACTTTGATAAAAATGCTTCCATAAAACAAAAAGGTGCTTAATTCTCATCGCATAATTGAATAGCACATTTAGGTGGTAGTGCATATAGAACAATTTAAAAGTTAATAATTCCATTACCACCAAGCACATAAATATACATTTCAATCAACAAAAAATTTCCGTTCACAATTTACAAAAAAAAGAAAAAATCAGAGATGTTTTTTTACATTCTATTTGCAAATAATTTTGTTAAACGCACACTCAAATTTCTATTTTATTTCCAAGGAATGTAAATTTTAACTCCATTGAAAAATAATTCCATGCATCAATATATTTCAAATGTGATAGATTAGTTAATTTAAAAAAAATTTAATTAGTTTACTAATTAAAACTTTTATTTCAATTCATTAATTTATTTAAACATTTAATTGAATTCAATTTTTTCTAGTTAAATGTAAGATTGATTTTTCGTATTTCTGCGAATATTTTTTCAATCATGGGTACATTAATCTACGTGCATATCTCTAGAATTAATTATAAAATTCGAAAATTATTATTAAAAAAAACAAATTACAGAATATTGATTAATTAAAATTATCTACATATTCATAAAAATCTTTTGAGAATCTGATTTTCCTCACACTTTTTTGATGCAAAAAAGCCTCACACAAGTTTAGAATCAAAATACTAATTGAATTATTCCATAGCTTCTTGAATATATATACATTGTTTTGAGGGAAAAATATATCTACTCTAATCATAATAAAGATTCTATTCTTTAATTGAATTTTTTGGATCATGACTTCAATATACATCACTTGATAGTGAAATAGATATTATAAATATAATATAATAAAGTTAAGATATTCCCAAAAAAGTTACTGATACATACAGAGAGAGAGAGAGAGAGAGAGAGAGAGAGAGAGGGGGGGGGTATTAATTAAATTAATAGTAAGTTAAATAGTATACGTGGTGTTACTAAATACCAAAAAAGAGCATTTCTATGTAAATACAATCATTATTTTATGATTAATTTCTTGTAATAATATTGAAGAAATTTTCTTGTAAAACACGATTTTCTTAATTGCGTTTCGCACCAATATGAGCCTTTCGCTTGAACAACGATTTCTATAAAATGTAAAATTAATTTTCACTTTGCTGTCAAGTTGAAAGTACTTGAAAAAATAATTGTTTAAATTCAATTACTTAAAACAAAAATTATTCGAATATTTGCAATTGTGGAATTATATTGACGAGGTGCAAACAATTTATTCACAATTTACATAATTTATTACTTGAAATTAAAGAAGAAGAAGAAGAAGAAGAAGAATATGAAGAAGGGAAAAAGAAAAAATTATTAAGTTTGTTGAAGTTTAAGACGTTACCAATATATTGTACATATACAATTGTTTTATTGAAAATTTTTAAGATTAAATATGTTATAGATGTTTAAGATATTCTATTAAGGGCTTAGAATATAAGAAATGCGATATGTCAAAGAAATATGGGTATCATTGTGAATATAATGATTCACAAAATAATTAAAATAATTATAGCAGCAATAACAAATAATATACTATATTATATAGAAAAATATGCTGAAGTTTTTTTTCTCATGCACGAACATAAAAGAAAAGACAGATATTCTAATTATGAATGAAAATTTTCCTCTATAATGCAATTCTTTATTAATATTTATTCTCTAATGCTCGATACCTACTTTGTTTGTATCATACACATACAGTTGTCGAAATAAATATTTTAAATTTCCAAGGGAACTGTGAATATTTAGAATCACCTTTCCATACCCAAATGTATTTTCACCATGACAAAATTATTATTTGTAATGAAACAGACACCAAGAGAATGCAATAAATATAAATAATAGGAACATTCCTTTTGATTACGTAATTAATTTATAATCGCCCTTATAAATAAAATCAGATTTCTGTCTGTACATTGACTAAAACATCCGAATTTTAGCATGAATCATCAAAGATTCCAGAAATGTTTGTAAAACATTTAATGTATGTGTGTTTATCAATTTACAGATTTATAATAATAATAATATATGTAATATATTATTATTATTAATATTATTATATTATTAATATGTAATAATTTACAGATTTATAAAATATTAATTAGAACGGGAGAAATTCAATTTTTTTGAAAAATTCGAAAAATCAAAAAATTTTAAATTATTTATTTTTTAATTGAATATTGCTAAACATTTTGTAACCGTGAAATTAAAGTTCACCAAGTCACATTTTAATTTAAGTTTACAATAATGACTGCAATATACTTTAAAAATTTTTTTTTCAATTTTTGCTTCCTCATCTTAAAGAAAGCCTTATAGTGATGTCGATTTTCGAATTTCTCTTACATGTTTTGACGGATTTTGATAAAATTTTGTAGGTGTATTAAGGTCACGAATATCTAAAATCAGACAGAAGGATTTTCAAAAATATCTAAAAAAAAAATTTTTTTAGCAATTTTTTAATTAAAAAAAAATTTATTTTTGTATTTTTTTAAATAATTTTTTTCTTTATTAAAATTTTCATTAATTACTGTCAAAATTGTATTTCTGATATGAAAACGAATCGATTCATGTATATAGAGTATATATTTTATCAATATTTATAAAATTAATCGATATTTGTATTTTTTGAAACTTTATCTTAACGTACTTTAAAATAATTATTCTATAATAAAAAATTAAGCAATTGGTATATATTATATTGAGGAAGCTAAATGATCATGAAATAAACATCTTGTTTATTTTTTAATAGTTTAAAAATTTTAATTTTTTAATTTAATTTATATTTATAAAATCAGACTCCTTTCTGTACACTGCACAAAAATTGGTAATTGTCATATACATTTTTTCGTTTTAACACATTAAAACTCAAAGACTGTAGAAAATTGTCTGTTTGTCCATGTCTATCGTCAATAAACTTGACAGTGTATTATTATAGATAGATATTTTCGTGCCTTAAAATCTTGGCCATGTTTGCGAAAAATTGTCACATATTAGAATAACTATGGTATTTCAATAAAATAGAGTAAAAAAAACATTAATAATTGAAATTATTTAGAAAGTATGCTAATTTTAATAAAACAAGCAAACTCAAGAATTTTTTTTATGTCATGAAAATTAATACTTTTACCGTTTGATGCTTTTTCTGTTTAGAGCTCTAAAGCTCTAAATGCATGCATGGTTGTCATAGTAACACATAAGAGTAAGTGAGTCAGAAAATTCAAATTAAATGTTTTTTCTCTCTCACATCGGTGCACACCCTCCCTCATAATTTTTGTAGACAGTGTAAGTTTAATTGGTATAATTAGTGCACAGAAACAACGTATAGTTAATAATTAAAAAAACTTTGGTGTTATATTTTGTTTATATTTATAATAATTATTAATAAGTAACAAGTTTTGAAATACTTATTTTTAAAAAAACGCGCCAATGAATTTGAAAAACTGAAGTGTATCAATTTGTGATTTGCTGTTTCAAAAATGAAAATAAAAAATTTTTACCTACATCGCGTCTGCATTTGCAGACTTCTTATAAACATATTTATGTATTATTTGAAACATTTAATTATTAATTTACATTATGGAAAACAGGCAAGTTTAGTTAATTGATGTCAGTGAATTTAGAAATATAAATGTACACTTAAAATTCTTTTTTGAAGAATCGATAACAATGTCCACGTTGGCAATAGTAGTTTGCAAATAATTATTATTAAATCTGTTTGGTAAGTACCAATTGAAATAGTTTAAATAAATGATAATTCATTTTTCTCCAAGTTTCAATTATAATATTTAAATTTTCAAAAATATTTTCATTTTTAAACTTAGTTTCAAGTTCATTTTTAAAACATAACCTCAAAACGTAACTATACTAAAAGTTTAAATAATTATTATATTAATATAAAAAATATTACGGTTATTAAAAATAGCAATTAAATAAAAATGAATTAAATGATTTTTTTCAGATTAAATTCGAAACTGTACTTTTAAACAAATAAAATGACCAAAGTGAAAGGACATGAAAGACCACAGAAAATAAAATCAAGAGTAATAAGTTCCAGTGATTCTGATAAATCGTCAATTTCTAAGATGCCTATTTTGAATACTATTTTAACGGTTGTTTGTATAGGAGTTGCAATTTGGTTTAGTTATAAGGGATATTTAGAAACTCGCGTTAATACGCCATATAATGTTGAAAAAGTAAGAAATTACAGGGCAAAATTAAGAATTTACACTGAAAGACTTTTTGTTTCAAAATTTAATATGATTCAGTTCAAACAGGGGAAAACGATGTTTTTAGGTTACTTAATCGTACGAACGTATCAGCTTTTGACAAAATAGTCCAAAACAATTAGTATAGTCCGTACTAATCTTTAGTTTAAAGCATATTAATAGTTGATACGTTCATACGATTAAATAATCTAAAAACATCGTTTTTCCCTGTTTCAAATGAATCACATTAAATTTTGAAAAATAATTTTTTTGTTTAATGATGGAGGATTTTCATAATTAATTTTACTTTCCAATATAGCTGGTTAATGCAGCCAAATTAAATAATTCCGAGAGATATTGGGGTTCATATAGATCAGGCGTTTATTTTGGAATGAAAACCCGAGACCCTTATTCATTGGTAACGGGTCTAATGTGGTATTTTCCACAATTCTTACGACAAGGAGGAGATGGACTACGACATTGGTGTGAACAAGGTGATAAATTAGACCGGTAAGTTTTGTTTTAATTACGATGGCTCCTAAATAAAAAAAACATTATTCGCGAGAGTAATTAGAAAACACGTGACTCACGAATATAAATAGTTAAGTCATAGGTAATTTTATTATCATTTAAAATGCACGTCAGGATAACTATTTTCAATTGCAAACATTTAATTCTAAACTATAACTATATAATTGATTTACATACATTTATGCATGCACTTGGAAAAAAAATGTTATCTTTTTTTAATTGAAAATAATTGAAAATGTGAGAGAAAAAGTCAATAAGTATAATAAGGAAATGAAAACTGAATTTCAGATATGCTTGGCTGGAACACGATGGAGAAACTTTCGGCGTTCAGGAAATAGTTGACGGTGGGGCAATTTTGAGAACGTCCTTCATAAAAAGACCAGGTGGTAAACACGGTGGCGATTGGTCAGCAAGAATTGGTGTCTCATCAGAAAAAGGTGAACGGGATGGTGAGGAAATTTCCTTCATCTTTTACACAGCAATTGAAGATAAAACAAACGGCAAAATTAGAGCGGTTTTGGGTGACAGTCAACGCCTCACAGGAATGGAGGGTAATACCGAAGGTCTCGGATTTTTTTCAATAAACCTCAATAGCCTCAAAGGTCAAGTAGAGGAGCATTCGTTCTTGGTAACAGTAGCGCCCGGCCTACACGTCTTAAAAGAAACAGTTCTTCAAAATTTTCGAATAGCCACACAAAAAGGCTCCAATAAAAAGCATATTGTCCTTGGCGGTGAACAATTATCATCAGCCCACGATGGAAGTAAATTAGATCCCAATTTCGTTGCAACTCAAGTAACAGCAAAGATTCCATTTGAATTCGAAATTAGTTTTGAATCGGCAAGTTTTAATAATCGAAGTGAAAAATTAATTGGCGAACGTTATCAAAAAGCTCTTAGCGAACGACGAAAAATATTTAATGAGAAATTCGATCGAGTTTTTCAACTCGCCGCGAAAGGTTATAAAGAAGATGAAGTGAATTTTGCAAAAATGGCATTTTCAAATATGATGGGATCAATAGGATATTTTTATGGTTCGGCACAGGTGAAAAGTGCCCATACCAAAGAACCGGTTCCCTATTGGAAAGCTGCCCTTTACACAGCCGTTCCGAGTCGGAGTTTTTTCCCCCGTGGCTTTCTTTGGGACGAAGGTTTCCACGGATTACTTATTTCAGCCTGGAATTTAAATATTCAAATGGACATAATGAGTCACTGGTTCGACCTCATGAATATCGAAGGTTGGATACCGAGGGAAATGATTCTAGGACAAGAAGCCCTTGTAAAGGTTCCTGAAGAATTTGTCACTCAAGTAAACACCAATGCAAACCCACCAACATTTTTTATTACCTTAAAATGCATACTCGATCATAATCGTCAAGAACTTTTGAAAAATCATTATATTTTATTAGAAAAACTCTATCCTAGACTGCAAGCATGGTTTACTTGGTTCAATACAACACAGATTGGTGATATGCCAGGAACTTATCGTTGGCGCGGGAGAAATGGTACAACAAGTCGTGAATTGAATCCAAAAACTTTAACTTCCGGACTAGACGATTACCCAAGAGCTTCGCATCCAAATTTAGATGAACGACACATTGATTTACGATGTTGGATTGCCCTCGCCGCTAATGTAATGTCTCAAATTGCCGACATTCTACACAAACCAAGTGAAAAGTACTTGGATACTTATAACTACCTAACTGACAATGATTTACTGAATCATTTGCATTGGTCGCCGAAGACACAAACTTTCGCTGATTATGGATTGCATACCGACAAAGTGAGTCTCAGGAAACCAACACCATCGCCAAGATCGCAGCAGTCACTTGAAATGACGCGAATTGTTTTAGAAGATCCTATTTTGAGATTTGTTGATACAACATTTGGATATGTTTCCCTATTTCCATTTATTTTACAAATCATTGAACCGGATTCGTCACAATTGGGAAAAATTCTCGATGACATTGTAAATCCCGATTTGCTATGGACCAAATATGGGTTGAGATCATTAGCGAAAAATTCTCCATTGTATATGAAATACAACACGGAACACGATGCTCCTTATTGGCGTGGTGCTATTTGGATGAATATCAATTATCTTACTGCTAAAGCCTTAAATCATTATTCGAAAATTCAAGGTCCACATCAGTTAAAAGCAAAGAATATTTATACAAATCTAAGACAAAATTTGATTAAAAATGTCATTTTACAGTATAAAAAAACAGGATTTCTCTGGGAAAATTATGGCGATACTTATGGGAATGGAAAAGGTTGTCATCCCTTCACTGGATGGACTTCATTAACAGTTTTACTCATGTCTGAAATTTATTAGTCTTCATTTTTTATAAATTTTAATTTTCTGACTCAAACGTGTGACCAAAGCTGCTAATGTAGAAAATTTTTCTTAGTAAAATTTAAAGACAAATTCTATAAAGAAATTAATATATATAAGAAAATAATAAAAAACTGATAATAAAAAATTATAGAAATAATTAATCAAAGTATATATGTATAAACAAAAAATAATTGCAAGAATATTAGTAATCATATCAAAAATAGCTAGAAACTTTTATAGATATCCAATATTGCAATTATTGTAAATTATTTAAATTTTTAGATTACCAATAATTAAATTTAAACAAATATTTAAAATAAACCTCAGATTTTTAAAATTGCTGAATATATATTCAAATGTTTTATAAATTTTAAATTTTTAGGAATTACAAATCTATGATAATAATAAAAAAAATTGTAATTTTAGAGTCAGAAAATAAGATTAGGTATTATACATTCTACAAAATAATTGACAATCTAATATGGCACAAATTCTAAAGATTTAACCTTCAATATTGCTTAACATGGAACTAGCAACTTACTGCCTTTTTTAAATAAAATTAGTAATTTTAAAAATAATAGAAATTTAAAATTTTCTAATTTAAATTTTTGTTAAAAACACTAAAAAAATTCAATTTTGGATAAATTGTAAATAATTACAGAAATTCAATTATTTTCAAAAAAAATAAAATTCTTCTTAGAAAATTCAACTATGTTCAAAATTTGAAAAAAATTTCAATTATCTTTATAGATAACAAAATTCTTCTCCAAAGTTCAATTATTTTCATAAATGTCAAAATAAATAAATAAATAAATGTCTAATTTCAATGATTTTCAATATCTACTATTTTAATAAAATTTCCGAAAAAGAATTCAATTATTTAAAAAAAATTTTAATAAAATTCTATGCAAACATTTAATTATTTTTATAAATAATAAAAATTTCACAGCTGAATTCAATTATTTTTATAAATAATAAAATTTTTTAAGGAATTCAATTCTTTTCATAAAAAATAATTTTAAATTCTAGAAAATAATAATTGAATTAAAATGATGAAAATAATTTTGATGGCGTTACAGTAACAATATTCTTATAATATAAAATAATGATTTTATTACTTGGTCATCTTTAATTATAAGTTATTTAATTTAAAAAAGGTTTGAATTTGAATATTCTTCTTCTTTTTCTAAAACAAACTAATAATTTTGTTAAAATAATTGTGATTCATAAACCAAAATAATGAAAAATAAATAAATGTTCTATTTCTTAATCACAGTTCTTTAACAATTTTCTAATTTTGTTTAGAAGTGAACAAAAATTTGCATAATTTCAATTTGACAAAACATAATATTTAACAAAATTTTAGTCTTTTAATGAAAAGAATTGAAAAAAAATTCTGATGATTTCTATTTGTCATTACAATTTTGAATTATGTAATTATAAAATAAAAATAATTATAACATTAATAATAATAAAGTACATATTTCGGTAATCTGTTCGCAGTTTGAAGTTAGTTGTTGTTTGCTTTTTTGTTTCTTAACTTTTTTATAATTTTTCTTTTCAAATATTTTCAATTTTAAAATGAATGTATTGAAAATCATCGAATTGTTGCAAAGAATTTTATCAAAAAATTTGATAATAATAGAATTCCTTCAAAAAATTTTATTATTTAGGAAAATAACAGAATTCTCACAAAGAATTTTATTAAAATTTTTAAAAATCCTAATTAAATTTTTTTGAAGAATTTCTTTGAATTTTTTTTAAACTAATGGAGTTTCTTTAATAATTTTAATTGAAAATTTTGAAAGCAATTGAATTTTATAAAGAAGAATTTTAATAAAATTGAATTGAAAACAATTGAATTCTTGCGAAGAATTTTACTATTATTTATAAAAATAGTTAAATTGTTTCAAAGGATTTATTAAAATTTTAAGAAATAATTAAATTGTTGAATAATAATTTTCAGGAATTACTGAATAATCATATTTATTTGAATAATTCGTTACTTACTAATAAATATGATTATCCAGTAATTCCTGAAACTTATAATATTAAACGGCCATAATTTATTTAGCTCTATATTTATTATTTAATTAACTAGAATCATTTTAGTGACAGCGTGTAAATTGTAACAACTGCACAAAGTGAATGTCGGTTGTTACAATACCAAGAATCATCCGTAACATTTCTAAATTGAAGACAAATAATTTTTTAAAACCATTTTTATTAATTATTTATAATTTTTGGCTCAACGTAATAGTACGTGACAGTTGCATAGAGATGGCAGCATTAATATTATTGTTTCGAAATGAAAGAAACTTAAAAAAGTTTTTTTTCATTAATTTTGAAGACGAATTTAGAAAAACCATGAGATTTTTCATAAAAAATGAGTGTTATTACATTTTTGATAAATATTTTACATTTCAAACGAATTTGCTGAATTTTGGAAAAAATATCCGTTCTTATTATCACTTGTAACAACTGCACAACAGGTACATTTTTTACAATAAAACACTTTATTAAAAAAGTATACACTAAATGTGGACAACCAAGGCAGTTTTTTAAAGCTTAATCCTCATAGAATTGATATTAAAAAAATTTACTTTGGGGTCAAAATAAGTGAAACCGGCCACTTGAAAAATTTTTATCTCCAATTTTCAAGTTATCTATGATTTTTAGTAGATATATGAGTACACTTTTTCCCCCTAAAATATTTTTCAAAAAAAAATTTTATTTTTGAAGTAATCAGGTATTGAAGTTTTAGGTCATTTTATTTTAATTTTATTATTATTTTGAAACAAATAAAGATAATTAAGTAATTTTTTTTTAAATTAAAGCTTAAAGTCTATACTTTAAAGATGAAATAAAGCGATTGCTAAAAAATGAAAATTTATAATTGTTATTAACAATTCTTTTAAACAATTGCAAATTGAAGAATGTTCTCAATGTTTTTGAAAGATTAAATTACGATATATTGATGCGCAAAACTATAAGGATTCATTTAAAAAAAAGAAAAATGAGTAACTTCCAATATTATAGAAATTATGTAAATTTTGCTGACAAAATGCAAGCAAAAATTGACTCAAGTTCCTGGAAAAAGATAAAATTGCAAACGAATAAATAAGATCTTCTTTTGTTTTGTTAGAAATTTCACGCTTTCAAGCGGATTTTTAAGATTAAAAATCGATTTTGGCCTGCATTTTGGCAGAAAAATCTACACAATTTCTATAATATTGGAGGTTACTCATTTTTCTTTTTTTTAAATGAATCCTTATAGTTTTGCACATCAATATATCGTAATTTAATCTTTCAAAAACATTGAGAACATTCTTCAATTTGCAATTGTTTAAAAGAATTGTTAATAACAATTATAAATTTTCATTTTTTAGCAATCGCTTTATTTCATCTTTAAAGTATAGACTTTAAGCTTTAATTTAAAAAAAAATTACTTAATTATCTTTATTTGTTTCAAAGTAATAATAAAATGAAAATAAAATGACCTAAAACTTCAATACCTGATTACTTCAAAAATAAAATTTTTTTTTGAAAAATATTTTAGGGGGAAAAAGTGTACTCATATATCTACTAAAAATCATAGATAACTTGAAAATTGGAGATAAAAATTTTTCAAGTAGCCGGTTTCACTTATTTTGACCCTTTGTTAAGTATAAAGGTCTATTAATTATTTAAAAAAAAACCAGGCAGAGAAATATTTACTTTTGGCCTCTAAAAACCAATGTGCCTATTTTTTTACTTGTAAAGCTTGCATATAATTTTTAAACATATTGCAGTAAGTTCGTACATAAAAACTAAACATTTTTCTTTATAAAACCCCATCTCTATAACTAACTGTTTCTCAGATATTCCATTGTAACAACTGCACAGCGTAACAACCGCACCTAGTCTCCCCTACGAATGTTTAAATTAATTAAATTGTTATAAAGAATTTTATAGAAATATTTGAAAATAATGAAATTTTTTCGAGAAATTCAATTAAAGTTGTTTCGAAAATAATTAAATTTCTTTAAAGAATTTTATTAAAATTAAGTATATTCAAAATAATTGAATTCATTACAAGAATTTTATTATTTTTTGAAAAAAATTGAATTTTTTCAATTTTTTTCACGAATTTAATTTTTATATAGAATTTTTTTAAAAATATTTTGAAAATAATTGAATTATTTTTAGAGAATTTTAAATTCTTGTTGAAATTGAATTTTATGGAAATTTTTATAAATAATTTAATTCTTTCGTGTAATTTTATTTAAATTTGATTAAAAATAATATAATTCCTGCTAGAGTTGTGCAAAAAGCTCGATCGAGTATTTTAAGCTTTTCGTTTTTCTAGCAGAGCTGAGCAGAATCAATCCGAACTTGAACCAAATTCCACCCGACACGTGCAGTATTAAACCTAAAATAATTTTGAGCACTTGAATTTTTCGAGCACTCAAATATTTTTGAGTAACTAAAACTCGAGCCTGACTCGAGTATCGAGCCCGGCTCGAGCTCGACCATGCTATTCGAGCTTTTTGCACACCTCTAATTCCTGCGAAGAATTTTACTACCTATTTATAAAATTAATTGAATTCTTGTGAAGAATTTTACTATTTATAAAAATAATTGAAATGTTTTGAAGGATTTATTAAAATTTTACTATTTAAAAAAATAATTGAATTGTTTCGAAGGATTTATTAAAATTTTAGAAAATAATTTAATTCTTTCGTGTAATTTTATTTAAATTTGATTAAAAATAATATAATTCCTGCAAAGAATTTTACTACCTATTTATAATATTAATTCAATTCTTGCGAAGAATTTTACTATTTATAAAAATAATTAAAATGTTTTGAAGGATTTATTAAAATTTTACTAATTAAAAAAATAATTGAATTGTTTCGAAGGATTTATTAAAATTTTCGAAAATAATTGAATTCTTTCGTGAAATTTTATTAAAATTTTTGAAAATATTAACAGTAATAATTAATTTTGTACTTAATAAGTGAATTTTTTAAATTTTGATTATGAAATTATTTAAAAAATTTATATTTGAAAATAAAAAATTTTGTAATTTGCATAATAATAACAAAAAACAAAAGTATACACAAAACACAACTTCAGAGTGTGAGGGACAGAAAAGTGAATGAATGAAAGAACATTCAAATTATTATAGTTAATAATTAATTAATTAATTAATATTAATTTGTCAAACATTCTATGAGCTATATTGCCTTTAAAACTACTAGTTATACAAAAGTAAATATAATATTATAAATACATATAAAAAGTTCAAAATAGCTCATTGTAGAATTAACTACAGAAAGGATTTTTGTCCTATAAAATTAATTTGGTGAAATTAATAATCTATATCGGTACGCGCCTTGGCTGTGATACATTAAAATATGTGAATAACAGCATTTAATTTTAACAGTACTCAATTTTACAAATTTCTATAAAATACTATTCTACTGTTCTCTGTTATTTTCGACTGTACAATAAAATTAATTATTTTTAAGAAACTTGTTTTATTTACATCAGAGTCGTATATATTTTTAAGAAAATAATTTCTTTACTTATATAAACAAATAATAAATATATGGCTAGAATTTTAAGTTCAATCACTTCAA